TTTTTTGACTAGGCAAAACAGAAGGGAGTAATCAGATTTGTTGCCTTTGCAGCATTTGACCTGTTGCTTGCAAAGCCTGTATGGATGCTTCCAAGGCTATTCTGACTCTCACAAGCCTAGTGAAAACAAGATGACACGGGATAAGTGATTTCTTCTATTGTCCTGCAATTTTAGGATCATTTCATTTTTCCTCTGTAACTTTAGAAATAAAATTGAAATACTTGTAGGTTAGCCATGTATGCATGTGAATTATTTTAAATCTAATGTGTATACCTTATATATACATGATTTTTTTTTTAACCCTTCCTCTCCAGGGCTCAGTCATTTGCTGAACGTTTACGGTTGGGAATTGCAGTGATTCATGGGGAAGCTCAAGATGCTGAGTCTGACATGGTAGATGGTCGTCATTCACCACCCACAGCCAAGAACGTAGCTGCTATTCATCCCAGTTTGGAGATACCCAGTAAGTAAGTTTGTGTGTGAAAGTGTTCACCTCTTGCTTTTTGTGGTTTTGGAGAGCAGGGATGATAGTGATAGACCATCAGAAATCTTTTCAAGAACATGAGGGGGAAGAAAAGATTACTATTTGATGTCTTTGTAATCTGTGGTTCTAGTGTTAGGCCACATGTGACATCTGTGCCATCACAGTGGGTCCGAGGAGGCATAGAGGCTGCACTCTTCTACCTCTTGGTTTTGATGGTTGGATTTTGTTCTGGGACATAGAGTTCATAAGCTGAGCTGGCTCTGGGTTTGTGTGTATCTGAGTCAGTGTTGTGTGCTTGACAGAGGAACTGTGCTGAATGAGGTGTGACCTGGAGCTGCACCAGCAAAACTTCACCGCATAAACCTAGCTTGGATCTCAGTGGAGTGATTGAACTGGTTGTGTCTGCAAGCCACTGTATACGTGTAGTTCGTACTTTTGATTAAACTTAAAATATATGTACTTTTTTTTTTTTTGCATTTCCCAGTAACACTGTAGTAGTTGGAATACTTGTTGCATTGCTTCTCTCTAAAACACTGGTGATTGATGCAAAGCAGATGTTTTTACACTTAAAGTAAATTGTATAAACCTTCTTTTCCTTTCTGTTTTCTATCTCTCTAAAACTTTACTGTTGATCAGTGCTGATTCCCAAGGAAAAACCACCCATCACAGTTGTTGGAGATGTAGGAGGAAGAATAGCTATCATTGTGGTAAGTAAAATGCTGTGCCTTTTGATAAATCATATTTAATATGTTAAAGTTGCAGACAGCAAGTACAGTTTTTGTTGCATTGGTAACTAAACTTCTGGTGGTGAGCTTTTGATAACATTTGGATGTTACATCTGGAAAAGGTAGAAGGTCATTGAGGGTGCACCGTGTTGATCTGTGTGAGAACGTATTGAGTTCCAGTGGCTCAGTGTCCCCTTTGTTTGACAGGATGACATTATAGATGATGTTGACAGCTTTCTTGCTGCAGCAGAGACCCTCAAGGAGAGGGGGGCTTACAAGATCTTCGTAATGGCCACACATGGCCTGCTGTCTTCGGATGCTCCCAGGCTGATAGAAGAATCTGCAATTGATGAAGTAAGCGTAAATTCTGAATTTCTACTCAGATGATTTTTTTTTTTTTTTTAAGTAAGCAAATTTCTCCTGACTTGATTCTTAACATATACTGGCATTATGAATTGATCTGGGTAGGATCCTGTGTTTAGGCTTTATTACCGTTGTCTTGAATGCTAGAATAGTGGCATTTCTATATCCTGAAACTCTAGAAGTGGGAAACTAAGGAGAGTAAAGAGATGAGCTGTCAGTATTGGCACACTTGTCTCCCACACGTTGAAGGGGAACTTAATGCCTTCCTTTTTGAACTTAGGTGCTGGCATTAAAAGAAGGGAGAGTACTGCTGCTGGTCTCTATGGATATGAGGAGTCCTACAGCAGTGCATTGATATTTGTGAGATTTTGATCCTGACAGTAATGTGAAATCTTGTTCCTTTGTCAGCCAGACTGGTTTAATAGGATCTGGAGGATAGATGTGGAGTTTCACAATTCTGATATGGAAGGTGGAAAGTATGAAGGGTCTGTATCTGATCATTTTTTCCTCTTTCTTTAGGTGGTTGTTACAAACACAATTCCACATGAAATCCAGAAACTGCAGTGCCCTAAGATCAAGACTGTGGATATCAGCATGATCCTCTCAGAAGCCATTCGCAGGATCCACAACGGGGAGTCCATGTCATACCTTTTCAGAAATATTGGACTGGATGATTAAAGCTTTTTAATTTAAATAAACACCTTGGGCCAAACTGGAAGTGAAAAGATAACGAGCTGTGAAGCATCATGCTTATCTTAATATTTCTGTTGAGCCACTTTTTGTTTTCTCTTGGTTTAAGTATCAAGGTAGAACAGTTTTTAAGAGCTATTTTTTTTTCTTTGCAGTTTTTTTTTTTGGGTGGTAACAAGTGGTGAGAGAGGGAGGGAGGTGGGCAAACATTTTACAGAAAACTGTTCTAGTTGCTTATAGGTTAGTTGCACTATATACATGGTGGAAAAAAAAACAACCCACAGAACACTTGAAGCAAGAATTTGGCTTCTAAAATAAGCATTCCTTTTCCAAAGCTGCTTGCTACAAGTGCTTTAAAAGATAATAAAATGAAGTGACTGTATAATATTTGCATTTAAAAAGCCAAAAAGGTTGTACTGTTGTATGCAGTTAAGTGATTTTGTAGGAGTGCTTTTATAGAAAAGCATATGAAAATATGCACCTGTATTTATTTTCTGCGACAAAGAATAAAGATTTGTTTTGTGTGAGCTTTCTAAAACTGTTTATAGAACAGTCACTTGTCTTCCAAAATGTCCCCATTTCAGAATGATTTGCAGATACTATGATGTTGGAGGAAATCAAGAGGTGAATTGATTATTTTATGCTTACATCTTACTTTGGAATATAAGCAGGATTCGGGCTTCTAGGCAGTAAGGAAGCAACATCGGTTTTGCTTGTTCTGTGCTGGAACACCTGCAGGCAAGGAGAGGCTGCTTTTCCCTAAATGCTGTTACTCTTTGTTGCATTTCAGCCTGTCTTTATGCTGAGCAGCCTGGTGAAATGCAAAATACACAGCCTTTCAGCATCCAGTTTCTGGGGGCTATCTCAAATGTGTTAATTAGTTTCTTTGTAATTTGGCAGGTACTGTATACTTTCAGTGTACTGCTTTGCTTCAGGTAATGTGGTAGGAAACTAAACCTGTAGCTGGATGTCAAGGGACAATGGGGACTGGGAATACTGGGGTGAGTAGTGTATGGAATTGAGGGCAGTTATGGAGCAGGGGATGTGTGAAGTGCTGGTTTTTTTTTGGCCCCAGGATTTCTGCTTGTGTTGTATTTGTTTACCTGAAATGATAGAGCTGTCTGGAGGTGGTGTGCAGGGTTTGGTTAAGCAGGGAGAGATGGTGGCAGCACCATGATGATGGGATCCAGAGCTTGCAGCTGATAAAAGCTCATCACAGTCAATGGGGTCTGAAGAGGTTTGTGTCTGCATGTATGAATGTGAACTTCCCCCAACCCGAAACAATGAACCCAAACAAAAACCAGCCATAAGGCAAGGTTGGACTTGTTCAGGTTTGTTCTGCCAGCTGTCCCAGTGGACACTCGCATGCAGTGAGCAGCTCAGTGACCAGAAGTTCCTGGCTGTGGTGGAATTAATGAGCGTTTTTTTAAGGGTTGTTTGGTCTAATTGCTCTCAATCACAGTGTCCTACAAATAAGTATGAAACTCCTGACATGTCCAAAATCAGAGGTGAAAATGAACCTTTGCTGACATGTCTGTGAGGAAGGCAACCACCCTTAGGGTTTGGAAGGCTTTCCCCCCATTCCCTCACATCTGTTAGCACAGCCCCTGGCGCAGCAGAGGCCTGGGCTGTGGCTGGGAGTCGTGGGGAGCTCCTGGACTTGGTGCATTCACCAAGTGAGATGGAGATTCTTTTTGCTGTGCTGTCCCATGAGGGAAATTCTGTCTACGAAGTGCCAAATGGCGAGGCTGCACCTTTATGCTGTAGTGACGGTAGGTTATTAAACAGTTCTGTGGTGTTACTAGATACACCGAGCTGACATATTAACACGTGCACGTACTTGGAATATGTTAATGCAAGTTGAATTCCAGTCGAGCAGTGAGGGAGAACTTCACTTCTCCTCACGAGTGCCGCGAAAAAAGCATAAAAAGAAAAACCCAAACTGATCAATCAGACTGAAGTCACAGCCTGTGTGTGTGATAGCACAGTGCACAGCTGCTCCCCCGGGCCCTGCTCCCAGCCCTGCCTGCAGAGCTGTGCTCCTTGGGGTCGCTCTGCTGACAGGGCTGGCTCCTGCGGGTGCGTGGGGGCAGGGCTGGGGATGCTGAGCTGCGAGGCAGGGGGTTTGATTAATGTTCAATTCCCTCGGGCAGCAACGAGTTATTGATTCAGTGACCGTCAGTGGGAGGCTTCCCTGGGGGGTGAAGGAGAGAGCAGAGGAACGATGGAAGGCAATTCCACAGTTGGATCCTTCACCCCTTTGCAGCAGTTCAGCGTTGCTGATCTTGTGGTTGTAGTGACTTATTTTTCCTTAAACCTTGCTGTGGGAATATGGGTAAGAGTGTTCTTGTTATTCAGCTTTTGCTTTCCTCTTCCATCATTTAAAATATACTTTTTTCCCCCCCCTCCATTGAAGTTTACCTTTGTTGTGCATTTTGCATATTGTGCTGCATTTGCTCTGTTCTGCTGTGTGCACCCTCTGCTCCTCATCCCTCATGGAAGGACTCGTGCCTCAGAATGAGGTGGGCTGAACCTGGCACAAACTTCTCCCCCATCCTGCAGCTCTGCCCTTCTCTATTACAGGCTGTTAAGACAAATGCACTGCTCACCACAAAAAGCTTTCAGCAACCTGCAATTAGAGTCAAAGGCTCTCCAAAGCCACATATTCTGCCTTGCAGAAAAATCCTGTCCAGGGCCGTGCCCTACGAGCCTGCCTGTCTGCCCAGCATGGAGGCAGCATCCTCTGCCCTCCCACTGCCCGCTCTGGGGGTGCCCCTTTACTGCTTGTGGCTCTGGGGATTTGGGGTGCAGCTGCTGTTTCATGTAATTATGCCAGAGTTGCAGAACTCCCATTAATTATCCAGTCTCTTGGCTTCTTGTCTGGCAGGCTGGGTTCTTGGTTTCTTGTCTGGGTTTACAGGGAAAGTGTTCTGTGCTGATGCTTTCTCCTCCCAGTCTTCATGCAGGGTGAACAGGAACACGGTCAGCGGTTATTTCCTTGCTGGCAGAGACATGGCGTGGTGGCCAGTAAGTAGAGACCTCATAGTTCCTCTGATGCAGCACTGCTTGGTCTTCATCCTACCTTGTGCAGGGCCTTTGGTGTGGTCCTGCACCACATCCTTCTCTCTGATTTGGAGAGATACAGATTTGAAGGGCAGCATATTCAGTGGATAAAGAGTTGGTCGGATGGACACAGTCACAGGGTTGTGGTCAACGGCTCTGCGTCCAGGGGGAGTGGTGTTTCCTAGGGTTCCATCCTGAGACCTGGGCTCCTCAATGTCTTTATCAATGACACAAATGATGGGATGGAGTGTGTACCCTCAGCATTTTGCTGGTGACTCCACACTGAGCGGTAGCCTGGGCAGCCTGATCTAGAGGCTGGCAACACCACCCGTGGCTGAGGGTTGGATGATCTTTAAGGTCCGTTCCAACTAAAGCCATTCTATGAAACCAAGAAAACCCACCCAAAAGCCAGTAGGGACGTTGAGATGAGCTGGACACAAGGAAGCATTGGTTGCTGGGACCCAGCGTGCACCTCTGAAGGACTCTGATAGGAGCTGTCCTTGCACAACGTGCCCAAGTCCACACGTCCCAGCAGCTCCTCCTGCTCTCTCTGCAGATCGGAGCCTCTCTGTTTGCCAGCAGTGAGGGCTCAGGCCTCTTTATTGGACTGGCTGGGACTGGTGCTGCTGGGGGAATCGCTGTCACCGGCTTTGAGTGGAACGTAAGAAATGTCTTGTGTTAGTAAGGAAATGGGTTTTTTGAGCCACATGGCTGCAGATAACAGAGGAGTTGTGCAGAGGATAACCAATGCAACCCCACAAATTCAGCTTCCCTACATCATGCCCAGTGCATGTATTATGATGCTGGAGTCAGCTCAAGTCCCTGTCAGCAGGGAGTTGGATGCTTTGAAGCAGAGCTCCCTATTCCAGCCCTAGGCATCACCCCAGCTGGGAGGTGGCTTTTTGGGTCACCAGTTTGCTGCTTTCCCATGAGCGATGTCCAAAATCCTGGAGTTCTATGAGGACATGAGGAGGTGGTGGTGGGATGCTTCTGGAGATGAAGGGCTGAAAGGGGCAGGGTCCTGTTGGCAGTGTGCTGGGTGGTCTCCACTTGATCTTACACACTTGCGTCTCCTGTTTGGGACCACTTAGAGAAACAAATGTGTGTGAAGGAGGGGAGCTGGGGTTGGGGCAGGTGCGGTGAATGGGACAGCGCTGTTTCTCCTTCCTAACAGGCTACATACGCGCTGCTGGCGCTGGCCTGGGTCTTCATCCCAGTCTACATCTCATCTGGGGTACGTGGATCTACCCTAATCTCAGGAGCATCCCCTGAACCCTGTACTGAGAATGCTGCCATGTCTCAGAGAAGGTGACATGGGGATAGGATGGGGACAGCCACCGCTCCCATCCCCTTCCGCAGATCGTCACCATGCCTGAGTACCTCCAGCGGAGGTTTGGAGGCGAGAGGATCCGGATGTACCTCTCTGGGCTGTCTCTCCTGTTGTCCATCTTCACCAAAATCTCTGTAAGTATCTCTGCTCAGCTCCGGGGCAGCTCTATGGTGTGCCTCGTAGTGGAGAGGCTGTGGGTGAGAGGCGCTCAGGCTGCGCTGTACCCTGGGGTTTTATCTGCTCTCCCGCAGCTCTGAGGAGTCATACGGGGGATTACCGCACAATTTAGCAAGTGCTTCTGCCTGGAGGCAGCGGGTGGCTGCAGCAGCAGCTGCGTCCCCACGCAGCGGCGCTCCCTGCCCGCTGCTCCGGGATGCACAGCGCAGCCCAACCCGGGCAGCACCGCTGCTGCTCCGCATCGCAGCCTGCACGGAGCCTCGGAGCAGTGGAGGGGGCCGGGATTTCCCCGTGTCTCCGCTGCTCTCAGCCATGTAGAAGTACCCTCTCCTGCCCATCCCCAGCTCTCGTTCCCTTAGAGTCCTGATGGAACTGCTGGGACTCGCCCAGCTCTGCCTGCCGCTCCCACTGGGACAGGTGGCAGCATCTGTCCGGTTCACAAGTTGGGGCAATGATACCCATTATTCCCTGGTTGTCCTAATGCCTGGGAACTTGTCAACGCTCATTCCTCTTCCCTGTTCCCATCGTGCCCAGGGAGGGAGATGGTTCAGTATTTATCTTGGTGATCTGAATTTATAGAATGCTTGCATTGGGGTCTCTCTGGCTGATCACACAACACCTCCCCCTTCAAAGCAGTGTGCTCTGCCATGGAGACGCACAGCCCACACACCTCCGGTCCCACCAGTGATTTTGTCTGGAGGGGATGAACAGCCCACACCCACCCTCATAGCTCTGCCTGTGCTGTTGCTCAGCCTGTGCCATGCTTTCTTAGTGCTGCTGAGCTTCCTGCAACCACTAAGCCATGCAGGACCCCATAGAAGAGGGATCGACCTGACCAGGGTTACCTGGCATCTGGCACCACCCATGGTGAACCTATGCAATGGTTGGGGTGAGTGCTGGCAGATATGACAGGTGATGTTATGTGTGTCCTCTCCCTGGTGCTGTGTGAAGCTCAGGGCAATGGGGACTGTCACCACTGCTCCGATGACTCTGCTGTGGGCAGGGGACACCACTCTCCCTCCTCCCCATTTGCTGGTCCCCAACCCTCTGTGGTTGGAGCAGCCCAAAGCCCAGCTAAGAGATTCCATTCCCCTTAGCTAGGAATAGGTGAAGCTTCACCTGAATTTTCAGAGAGCCCTGGAGTCTCCTCTGTGTCCCATGTAACTCGTTCTGCTCAGGCTTGGCCAGCAGCTCCCCTTGGGAAGGCATTGGTGGTGTTGGGTAAGAACGGGTTTCCATGTGAGGTCACTGGCAGAGGCAGGGATCTCATCGGATTAGGAGCCTGACTTCAAAGGTTTCTGCTCTCCTTTTACAGTTGAAAGGACTTGTTTTATGAATAGGTCATGCCTGGTTTTAATTGGCTTGTTTTTGTATTTGGGATGTCTTATTAACAACTCAGTCACATGTGCTTTTATTTTTTCCCACCGTAGCAACATTATGAGGAAGGGAGGTGGGGATCCCTCTGCTTCCTCATAGTAAAGGCTTAGACTCATTTGCAGACGACTGCAAAAATGCTTTGGCATTGAGAAAGCTCAGGTTATGAAATGTCTTCTTCAGGGCTGAGCCTTCACATCTGAGCTCTGGGGCTCTGCTTCTTGTTCATCCCTGGAAGTGCCCAAGGCTGTGGGTGGTGCCCTGTGCAGCCTGATGTGGTGGGAGGCAGCCAGCCCATGGCAGGGGTTGGAGCTGGGCAGGCTGTGAGGTCTCTTCCAACTGACCATGCAGTGGTTCCATGGTTCTATGATCTTTAAGGTCCTTTCCAACCCAACCATTCCATGGTTCTGTGACTATTGCACTGGGAGGAGATGGCTGGAGGCCCTTGGTTGGGTCATTTCTGCCTTGGAGATGAAGCTTGCAGTGTGGGGATGACTTAGTTGTCCTTCTGTAGGGCTGGATTGGTTGTGTCTGTGATATCAGGCTGTAGCAGGATCCCATTTGGGGTGACAGGCATCTCTGAAAGAAGAGCTGCTGATGGAGGTTTTGGCATGGTTGCCACTGGGTTGGTTCCACTTCAGCAGGACTTATTGGGGTGAATTCCCTCTTGGTGCTCTTGAGGGCTCTCCTGGAGACGTGGCCAGGCCTGAGTGCCACCAAGGACATGTAGCATCTCCTTTGGGGGTGCTGGAAGGGGCAGTGGTGGAAAGTCTGGTGCAAATATCATGGAACAGGCCCTGAACTGGGGTCCTCAAGCTCGTGGTGCAACTGCTCTTCTGGTTGGTTGATTTGTGATTAGTTAGTGTTATGCCCAACTGTGTGGGCTCCCCTGGGACAGGCATGGCTGCACCAGGTAGGAGCACCCAAAGGTGCTGGATGCCAGGAGGGGTGCGGCCCCAAGGTGGCACCAGGTGCCCATCTGCAGGACTTTGCAGAAAGCATGGTGAGATGCCAGCTGGGGAGCAAGGCATTGCCAGGTTAGGCCTAATCCTGTGAGGGACAGAGCACTGCTCACAACCCACGTTGTTCCCAAAGGCTGTGACACCCTACAGCCACACTCCTTGTCTCCATGCAGACTGACCTGTACTCAGGAGCTCTGTTCGTGCAAGTCTGCCTGGGCTGGGACCTCTACCTCTCCACTGTCCTGATGCTGCTGGTGACAGGGCTGTACACCATTGCAGGTAGGCTGCTTGCCGTCTGGCTTCTTCAGTTGAACTGTGCCACTTGCACTCCTATTTTACTCTTCTTTGTGTGCTCTTTGGGGCTGATACTGCTCCAGACACAGCTCATGGGGCTGCTGTTCCCTGTGCCACCCAGCACTTGCTGTGCATCCTTCTGAGCCTCAGCTCCAGCAGTGACTCGGGTGTGAGCTCTCCTTTGTCATTACAACTCTGCTTTTGTAATCACTCGCTCCTCCTCTGTCTCATAGCTAAATGCTTTCTTGTGTGTGCACCTAATTGTAATCAGCTCTAATCAGCGCTTCTCCTATTACAGAACCATTACTGAGGCAGCTAAAATCTGAGAGCCCTTTGCCTAACCCGTTTCCCACCTGCTCTGCCTGCAATGCAACTCGCTGCCATTCTCCTGCCCAGCTGCAGGAAACACATCCTGAGCGTGTTCCCACGTTGGGACCGTTTCTGTGCAACTCCAGTTGGTGCCTTTCCTTTGTGATTTGGGGAGATGATGAATTGGAGATGGAAATGGGGAGCCCTTGGCTTTTAGTCCCACTCTTGCACTGCAGAACCAATGATCCTTTCCAGGATATTATTCCAGCTTTTATTTAAGCTGGGACATTCCCTTCCCTGGTAGCTCCAGTGGAGATGCTCAGCGGTAAATCCTCTCCTGGTATCTTTTCCCAGCCATCAAAATGGGGAAATGATGTAATTATATCCAAAACGTGGTGGATTTTGCAAGACTCCGGTTTTGAGCAAATCCCACATTGGCTTTTCCCTGCCCACGAGGCTCACTGTGCAGCAAGGCATTCCGGTGCGTGCCAGGCAGAGGTGCGCTCCCTGCGTCACCCCGGTCCTGAGCAGATTGCAGGCATGGCTGGGCAGGTGCTGGATGGGGATGAATCAGGGACTTGGGTAGAAACGGGTTGAAACTCATTTTCTCTAGGTCCGCTACTTCTTTGTGTGTGTGGGCAGCCCTCTGGGGCTGTACAACACGTGGGTGCTCACAGTGCTCTGCTCTTTGCAGGGGGGCTGGCGGCCGTCATCTACACTGATGCCCTGCAGACACTCATCATGGTCCTCGGAGCCATCATGCTGGCAGTGAGAGGTAGGAGCTGGGAGGACCGCTGTGCCCCGTCTGCCCTGCTTGGACAGTCACAGATAAATAAAAAGACTCAGCCTGAGCAGTTCGGTAGCCAAACTGCAGTCACCTAAGGGAAGTCTGTGGTCTACCTGTGTCCCTTGCTGATGCATTCCCCATAATTCCTTGTGGCTATGGCATCCTGTTCGTTCTTTCTGTGGGCTTTTTCCAGCTGGCTGTCCTCGGGTCCCCCCTGTCCGAGAGCTCATTCCAGTGTTGGGCTGAAGCTTGGGCATTACTTTTCAGCTGGGTACAGCTTAGGTCCCAGTGCCAAAGGTTGGTGTTTGGGGAGTGGGACGCCCAGATCCTGAGATGAAAGAGCCCATCCACGTGTCCTGCAGTGGGACAGCAGCAGGGCAGCTCTGCAGCAAGATGCATGTGCAAACAAGTGAAAGGACAGGCAGTTGAGGCTTCACTTTACAGAAGGGAGGAAAGAGAGGAAGCCCTCCCCTACTGAGAGAGGTATCAGTAACAATAGATACCCCAGCAGAAGCGAGGACCTGTGCCAGGCAGAGGAGCTGCTCCAACTGCTCCACACCACAGCCCACACGTCAGACCAGGTGCTTGGGTATCGCTGATCTCTGTCTGAAGTGTTAATTGCCCACAGGTCCTCTGAGGCTTTCCCTTGTGCTCTTGGCTGGAAATAGGAGGGCAGCAAGGCATGGCTGGAAAATGCCTGGCGGCAGCAATGTGGCTAAGCTGTCTCCAGACGTGCTAACCCGCTCAGCAAGGTGTGTGCAGGGAGGTGGTGGTGTTGGGAGAGTGGCTGATCCAGGGGATCAAAAGGAGCCTGCTGGCCATGCAGCTGCTCTCGGTCTTGGGAGAGCCTGCAGGCTCACATCCTCCAAGGGCTGCCACCTCCAGCAGATCCATTGGGCTCAGCTCATAAGGGATGCTCTCCATGGTTTTGCCCTTTTTCTATCTTTAGACTGTGGCAGACACAGCAACGCAGGCATTGCTCATCTGCCAGCCTGTGATCACTCTCCCCATGGAGGGCAGAAGGGGTGTGTGGATGCTATTGGTTGCACCTGGCAGAAGATGATTACGCTTGGAGAGATTACATACACTAAAGTCCAAAGGACTGCTGGGGCTGTTTGGCAGTGGTTCAGCACCAGCACTGTCATACAGCCCCCACTGTGTCCCCCTGGTACTGAGCACAAGGACACTGCACCATCGTTGGGATTTTGCTCCCAGGGGTGGGACATCTTGCCCATTGGAGGAGCACTGCTCCCACTGCAACCCTACATCTGCAGGCTGATTCCTTGCTGCTCTGCCTTCCTTGCCTCACTCTTCCATGTGAGCAGGCGTAGGTGTTGCGACTTGTCGGCTGACACCTTTGGAAAGGGAGCAGGTCCGCACCCCCGGGCGCGAATCTCTGCTTTCAGCACTCAGCCTCTGCCTCTGGAGAGCTTTTGTTGGTGCCCAACGCCCATGCAAAGCTTGGGAGTAGCTGGTGCTTGGATAAACCACGCGCTGGAGAGGAGCCAGCACTGCTTTCATAAGAGCAGGAGGGGGTTGTGAACGCGCACTTCCTGTGCAATACTGGGGAGTGCTTTGAAAAAGGGGGCAATGGGGTGGCAGTGCCCCAAAAGCCTCAGGGCAGGAGGACAGGATCAGGGCTTATGGGTTGGTGATGAAAGTGGCCACTGTGCAGGAAAGGTACCATCCTGGAAGGGTGTATGGGTATTTGCAGGAGGCAAACAGGTACTGCCCACGACTAGGAAGGATGTGTGGAGTGGAGGGTACCACCCAGGGATGCTGTGGGTCTCACTTTGAGCCTGATGTGTTTTGCTGTTTTGCAAAGTGTTCCTTTTCCCTGCATCCAAAACTGCATCTGAGCAGGAGGGAAAACTTTGTTCTGTAGGAGCAGCTCCTGCTTGGTGCCAAGACCTTCCCCAGCCCTTGGTGAAACCCCTTCCTCACCATGGGTAGCTGAATGATCCTCCTCCGTAAGCCCAATTGGGATCCCAAAAGCTCTCCTGAAAACGGTGCCTCTGATTCCCCGGAACTCCCAGATTCTGCCATTGGCATGGAGCAGCTGCAAGCAGGGTTCATCCCGAGCCCCCCTGGAACAGGGAGGTGTTGGGCTGAGGCAGAGCCCGGGGCTGTCTGGGCAGGATGGGATCCAAGGTAGCTGTGCAGGGCTTGGAGCTGCACGTGCTGGGGCTTGCTCATGGCACCCTCAGCACGGGCTCGAGAGGAGGATCCCAATTCCTGGGAAAAGCATGGTGAAGAGGGGTGATTTGTTGGGAATTTTGGCTGGAGGCTCGTTAAAGATGGGGCTGTGTAAGGGGAATGCTCACAGGGGTAGAAAACGCTTCTATGTTGGGTGGATACCTGCACCGAGGCACCTTGGGCTACAGTGAGTCAAGGCAAAGGTACCTAATCTTCAATTTTAATGGTTCTAGGTGTGTTTCCCATACTCTAGGAGCAGGGAGCTTTAATAACAGCTTGCTTTTACAGTACGAAGTCAAAAGAGGCGTTGGTCCTTTTTGTCCCAGACGTGGGTCACCCTCCTAAGGGAGGGCGGGCTGCAATGGGACATGCTGTGCAAAATGGTGATAGAAGAGTCTCTTAAATAACTAAAATAAAATATAATCACGCGTGTGAGCGTGTGGGAAGGGGGCCAAGGAGGGGGCAGCAGCTCTCAGTAACGAGTTCTCAAGTGTTTTTCTGGCTGATCCTGGAGGCAACCAGATGGTCTCCAACCAGCCTCCCCCAATGGTGCCTTCCAGCTTTTAATGCGATCGGAGGTTACTCCAACCTGGAAGAGGCCTATCTAAAAGCTGTGCCGTCCAAGATCGTTCCCAACACGACCTGCCACCTGCCCAGAACGGATGCCATGCACCTCTTCCGAGACCCAATCTCTGGAGATCTGCCCTGGACAGGGATGACATTTGGGCTGTCCATCATGGCCACGTGGTACTGGTGCACCGACCAGGTAAACGTAAACAAGATTCCCCTGACCCACATGACAGAGCATCGCCTGCAGTCCATCTGCCTGCACCCACCCCTACTGCTCCTTCTGGCTGGTGGGCTCGGGGGGCTTCTTCTTGGAGTCGGTAGCACCTGGAGCTGCCATGACTTTGTTCTTAAGGTGCTTGGATTGGGACAGTTTGGAGAGTGGAATGCCGAGCGGTGTCCTCATCTCCTCGGCTGCCTTCTGGCTCTCAGGCAGGGAGCTCAGGGCTTTGCTTGCTGCCCTGGGCTTACTAGGGCTGAAGGCTTTGCCCTGCCAGTAGGGCTGGCTGCCTGCAATGGTCTTTTTGGGCTCGGTGCTGTCCCTTCGGTGCTTGCTGGCCCCGGGGGGTTTCTCGCACGGTGGGGAGCAGGAGGGCTCCTTGCCTTGCTCCCTGCCTGTGAGGTTCCTGGGGCGGTAGCGGTAGATGTGCGTGCCCTGTTTGTTAAAGAGCAGAAAAAGAGCAAAATATGATCTGTGGTTGTCACAAAGATGCTGCTCCCCTACGTACTCATAGTACTCACAGACAACTCCAGCAGCTGCTCGGTGCAATCCTGTGCCCAGATGTTTTCACTGTGCTGCTGTGCTGCTCACCCTCTGAATGAAAACTCTCCCCCTGTTTTAGGATTGTGGGTCGCCTGGTGTGTGGAGGTGCAGGTCTCTATGGGATGGGGCTCAGAGTGGTTGTGGGCCCCCAGGGGTCCCGCTGCCTGCTGCAAGGGCATAACCCAAAGCACTCAGTGAACTGGAGACAAACCCAACCTGCACTGTGGACATACGTGTACGTGGCTTTGGGGTGGGCTCCTACACCCAGCAGCACCAGCATTTGGGATGCCGGGGATGCAGTCAGCAGAGGGGAGGCTGACACTGGGGGGGACACATTGGTGACTCAGCCACGTCCCTGGCTCTCTGCAGGTCATTGTGCAGCGGTCACTCTCTGCAAGGAACCTGAGCCATGCCAAGGCCGGCTCCATCCTGGCCAGCTACCTGAAGATGCTGCCCTTGTTTGTCATCATCATGCCAGGCATGATCAGCAGGGTCCTGTTCCCAGGTAAGGGCAGGCGTTTGGCCGGGCTCCGAGTAGAAACCACTGAGATTGGGTGCGTGAGCGATGGGACCCAAAATAAAAATGTGGTGGCATTGATGGTGGGAGATGCCTACACTGTTTAAGATGGGAGCACAAACAGCAGTAGGCAGCTGTGAAAAACAGCAGAATTCCCAAGAAAAGGCCTCGCTGGGGCCAATGGATGGGCCATCCTCATCATGCTGTTGCTGCTCTCCAACCTCAGATGAGAGGTTTCTACAGAGCTAACCAAGGATGGCTCTGTTTATTGTTATTACGCATAGGAGAAACTATTCCCTGCACGTTTCCCTCAGCTGAGCACTGGCTTTCCTGGTTCTGGCAGCACCTCAATTATCTCTCACAAAAAAGCTTGGACAAGTTATTGCAGGAACATGAAGGTACCTGAGTGCTTTGCACAGCGCAGTGAGGGCTTGAATGCTGGAGCAAAGCCCTGGGCAGGGAGTGGCGGGAGGACTCTGGACTAATACCCTCAATTCCCTGTAAGCACAGATTAGATGGACCCGGCAGCTCAGCTGGGGTCGCCCCTGGTGGCATCAGTGACACGAGCAGCAGGGCTGTCCCCTGCCTGGTTCATGGAACCCTGGCTCCTGTGGGTGCTGCTGACGGCATTGCTTGCCTGCGGCAGCTGCCAGCCCTGCTGTGCTGCTCCACCTCATTATGTGTCCATGCGCTTTGCTTTGATGCTAATCAAAGCGTAAGGAGCTAGAAAACAAGGCGGGGAGGGACACGCCTGCATGCATAGTCTGTCCCACAGAGCAGTGCCACTGCTGTTGGGTGATGGGATAGAGCTCTGGGCACAGCCCCGTGCCACGTGTTGCTCTTTAATTCCAGAAAGCCTTCCTTTTATCCAGCCCTTCCCTGTGCACTCCTGGCTAGCTATGGCATGGCTGCATCCCCCTGGGCACCAGCACCTCCTGGATGTCTCCTGCAACTGTTGTGGTGATAAAAGGGGAGATTTAGGCTGGATATAAGAAAAATGCACTGACTAGGGAAGCAGTGGACTCACCACCCTAGGGGTGTTCCAGAACCATGAATATGTGACACTTAGAGACATGGTTAGTGGGCATGGTGGGCTGGGTTGGGTTTGGTGATCTGAGAGGTCTTTTCTAACCTTAATGGTTCTATGATTCTCTTTAGACATGTTCTTTGGTGGGCATGGTGGGGGTGGATTGACAGTTGGATTCGATGGTCTTAGTGTTTTTTTTTAAATTTTAATGATCTTATGATTCTGTGACCCAATGAACTGAGGCTAGACTAGGATATTTAATGTGGTGAAGCTCAGGGATGGCCTACCTGTGTGGCACTGGTGGGGTAGGAGCCGTTGCCGTCCAAGATGGTGCGGGGCAGCACACACCTGATCTCCACAGCATTGCTCCTCCTCTTGGCCATGTCCTCCACGCGGACGTGCTTGAGGGATGGGAGGCTCCCCAGGGGGCTGAGGAAGGTTCCTCGACTGATGTGGGGGTCACTGAGCTTCCTCTGGATGGGCACGAACTCCCCATTGTGAGTGACATCCGAGTTGGTTCGCCGCAGCGGCCCGTAGCGTTCCCTCACCTCAAAGTACTCATCCGAAATGGAGGAAGCGTTGGAGCGGCGGTAGCTGTGGTCAGCAGAGCTGCTGGAGCAGCTCTCCTGGTCACTGAGAGTGATATACTCCTCCTCCTCCTCCTCCTCCTCCTCTCCCAGCCCATTGTGGGCACAAGGAGGCCCCTTGTCCTCCTGTGGCCCCACTACTGGGAGGTGGCAGCTGTCCGGTGAAGTTCTGTTGGGGTTCTCCTTTGGTTCCTGTCTTGCATCCACGTGGTCAGCCAGCGGTGGCTGCACGTCACCCTCTGGGGCACTGTTGCTGTCACGTGGTGTGGTGGCTTTGGTTGCAAGGCCGCCAGCAGGGACAGTCCTTGGCTTTGGAACGGGGGGCTTGACTACCTCAGGTGTCTCCTCAGGTGGCTTCAAGTGGTGGCTCAGTGGTTGAGCGGCTGATGTTCCCACTTGCTTTGTCACCCAGCCAGTGCCTTCGATGGGGCTGGTGGCCAGTGCCACAGCAGCTTCTGTGGGGACCTGCGGGGTCTGCCTCTGGCAGAGGGGCAGCAGAGGTGGCTCTTGGGTTGACATCTTCTTGGCTTCCAGCTCCCTGTTCTTCAGCATCTGCCGGTGCTGGGCGCTGGCCTGGGAGACGTCGCAGACTTTGATGCGGTTCATTTGTGAGAGCTTCACGTTCTTTATCTTGGGGTCAATGATATTGATGTAGCCCAAGACTTCGCTCCCAGGCTCCGGGTCGGGCTCAACCCAGGTGGGCAGGTAGTCAAACATGTTGGCTTTCTCCAGGTTCAGGAGGCCAGGGTGGATGAGCAGGGAGAGGTCTGCCGCCTCGCCGTGCCTGTCTCCCGCTTGGCCCTCGTGCAGCCCTTTGCCTTTGTTTTCCACCTTCTGTGTTTTGTCCTGGTTCTCGGATGAAGTCTTGCTGATCTGGTCTGCACTCTTGGCCTTCACCAGGGCGTATTTGGGGTTTATCAGCTTTTTCACCATGGCGTTGGCAGGGGTCACCGGCACAACGGAGGGCAATGTTACAGGCTCAGGTTCAGGCTCCATGCCCATGGAGATGGATTTGAGGCTCACCCCCTTGGACATGAGGTACAGCTCCTGGAACTGCTTATCAAACGCCTCCACCACTTGACCTGAGAGCACTGTGATGACATTCCGGTCTGTCCTTGCTGCAGACCAGGTGAAGCTGGAATGGAAAGGTGTTGGAAGCTGAGCGCTCGCTTGCTGGTACACAGCCAACCCTGGCTTTTCCCAGGGGGGGTTAATAGTGCTAGTGAGGACATGATCTTGCTATAAAAATTAACAATAATGGGATTAATAAGAAGCTCTAGTCCCAAATGGGAATGAAGGCTTGAAGTCAGGAATTTGAATTAAAATACATTTTTTTTTAGTGTGGGTAAGCTAGGTTTTCATTTTAGTGTTGGCTGCTTCTCCTTTCTCAGTTTAGGTTAGTTAAGAAAAGGGACTTGTAAACAAGTCTGTTTTTTGTTGTTGCCAGATTATAGGAAATGTTCCATTTTTCATGTTCGTGAAATGTGTCTTTTAGAGCTGAAAACATCAACTTTTTCAACCAAAACTACTTTTCATTTGGACAAACTGGAAAACACTTGGGTTGTAAATGTTTAACAGGAAAATCTGAGGTCAGCGTAGAGCTGGGGCTGGCTGGGCCTCAGAACTCCTGTTGTTCACAGTGCATGGTGTTGTGCATCGACATCGTCGTGTCCCACCACTGCCCCAGTCCTGGCCATTAAGTGGCCTTAGGATGAACTTAGGCTTCCCTTGTGACGTGGTCCTTTAAGTCAGGACCTGAGGAGCAAGGCTGGGGGAGGGACCACGTGGGTCCTTTGACATCAGCTCTACGGGGCAGGTGAAGGGGGACACCACTATTACCTGTAGGATCCACACATGGCCCGATCTCCATCCACAAACATGAACTTTTGGGCCAAAGCCCCTTTGAACTTGGTTGCTGAACGCGTGAAGAACTCTGTCCCCCCTGTGCTGCGGACACGGAGGTTCTGCAAAGCAAAGGCGAGGAGCTGTGAGCAGGCAGTGCTGAGACCAGGACTGATGTCCTCACACTGCCACCTCCCCACTGTGCCTCTGCCCCACTTGGAGCTTGCTCCAGCCCCACACCGAGCCATGAAGAGCTGACGTTCAGAACCCTGTGGTTGTTTCCCAACCCCACCGAGCAGTGGGCAGCGCTCCTTGCAGTCTGCTTGCAGGAGACCTCAGCGATGAGGAGATAAAATAACTTGCCCAGGGCTGCACAGTGAACCAGAGACCTGGCGCCATGAATTTCCTGCTTTCCCCATGGTGTCCAACAGCGTTTTCTACCTCTTGAACTCACTCTGCCCACAACCACAGGTAAACAGTGTGTGATCGTGCTGCCAAACACTTTCCATCTCTTATGATCTGTGCGAGGGCACCATGCAGGAGGTGATTCTTATCCTCCTACCCCCCTGGGAGATGTACCGGTGTTTTTCTAGGGGACAGTGCTGACCTCAGCACAGTACATGTAGGTCCAATGTCAGTGGTCTTCCCTTGGGTCTGCTCTGCTCCTAAATCTAAGCATCTCACTTTGGTATTCAGAGTGGGTGGGGAAAAGCAGTGGGGCAGCATTTGGAAAGGAGCTGTGGGGACGTGGGTCCAGGTCCAATAGAGTGGACTCCCTTGGATGGGGATAAAGTAGTTTTATAGGAGAGCACTCTCATTTCTCCTGTTCTGCTGGGATGGTGGTAATGCTCTTGCTAAAGGCACTATGTCATTGTTAGGTCATGCCCATCATTTCTTTGTTTGGAGCCCATCACCAGGTTTCCAGGCAAGTTTTATGTGCTGTCTGGAGAAGGTTGGGTGTTCAGTCTGAATGGAGGTTGTATTAAAGTGGGGACCAGTTCTTCTCCCAGGTAACAGTGATAGGACCAAAGGTAATGGCTTTAAATTGACTCAGGAGAGGCTCAGGTTGTATATTAGGAAGAATTTCTTCTCCCAGAGAGCAGCCAGGCACTGGCACTGCTGCCCAGGGAGTAGTGGGGTCACCGTCCCTGGAGGTGTTCCAGACTGTGGAGATGTGGTGATGAGTGACATGATCAGAGGGCATGGTGGGATGTGGTGGGGTTGTGCTTGGGGATTTTGGAGGTCTTTTCCAACCTGAATGGTTCAGTGGAGTCTATGGTTGGTGTGGGGATGGGTACAGGAGGGTCACATCAGAGTGATGTCCCCGTGCCTAGCATCCTCACGGTGCTGCCCTCTCACTCTCAGCCCAATCTGTACACAAAGGCAAGAAACAGCCTGCATTTTTCTTGGGTAACACCCAGGAAAACAAAGCTCCTGGCAGCAGGCTGCTGGCTGCCTCGGCCTTCCCCTTGCCGCAGTTGGGTAAGATCTGTTTATTTTATCTCTTCCAAAATGAGCGTGGAGCGAGCGTGTGCCTGGCTGCC